ATGGACACCCAAGGTCAATAGCAATGGAGTGGCACAGCGGGTTTGTCCTGGATCCCTCTGACTCAAAAACTGTAGGGTCCATGTCCTTCCACAGTGCTGTAAGGTGGCCAAAAATTCTTTTAAAGGAGGCAAACTATGTATAGTTAGCTCAGAGTCATTGATAGGGTATTCATTGCTCTCTTAATCAGTTTTGCTTATTTTGGAAGACTGAGAATTGGATTTATATTTAATTTCACACATCCCACGACTACACTTTAAGTACCATTCCTCCTGGGAATAAGGTTTATCTTCCACCACTCAATCAGCTGTCTGACTATTATGACAATTACTTTTCTCCCATAGGAGAAGTATGTTATGATAGATTTTAAGAAATGGAAACCTCATACTGGGAACTGCCTATGTAGAGGTCATTCACGACATGTGTTAATAATCACTTCCAAGTTGTTAATTCCTGTTTTCTCTAGACACAACAAAAACAGGAAATATTTACCAACTTCACAGGTGTCAGGAAATACTTTAAAAACCCTGGTGGCCTGGGCCACCTGCCGAAGCAGATAACATTTCTGAGCATAGGTGTGAAAGGTATATTGTAATTTAAAATGTGTACTTTGGTCCAGAGACTTCTACCTAAACTTCTTAAGGATTCATGGGCTTTGCTTCTGTTGGACCAAAGATTTGCTCCAGAAGAGAGTTGCAATGTATACAAATGTGCTTCGTAGCCTTTCTAGAATTTACTAGAAAACTACAATTCTCTACATTTACTTGGTTTGAAATTCTGTTTCCTTAACTAACCAAGTGCCAAGATGAAAATGCATATCTCAAAACTACTGAAGTACAGGATTATGTTCTTACATCACCATTATGTAGAAACCACTAATTTGTTTTCATGCTGAAAAGTGCTCACCTACCAAGCAGTTTTCACACCCTTCAATCTGGCTCTCACCCCAACCTCTCCATGTACAATGTTCTACTGTGGTCACCAGAGACCACCTAAGGACTCCTCAGTTCTGCTTTGTCTCTTCATGACGTGACACCATTGGTCACTCTTCTTGAATGTCTTTCTCTCTGTGAGAAAACATTACTTGATTACTTCCTAGATCTCTGGATTTTCCACCTTCATTCTCCTTTTATGGTCTTCTACTTATCCCTGCAAAGGCCTCACAGTTTAGCTTAAGGTTTCTCTGACACTTCTCAAGTCTCTCAGCTGCTTAAATAGTTAAGAATCTTCAAACAAAAAGTTAAATGTACCAACTGGTTAGGAAATATTGCAGTGCATTCTTTCATAGGGCCAATGATGATTGGTTTTGATCAGTCCTTAGTTTATCTCCCTTCTTGGCAAATCTAGATTTCCCCAGGCTGGTGATTCTTAAAGTATGGTCTCTGGACTAGCAGCATCTGCATAACCCAGGAGCATGTTAGACTGGAAAATTGGGGGGCCCACCTCAAACCTACTGAATCAGCAATTTTTTTAGCAATACCTACAGGTGATCCTAAAGCATGCTTAAGTTTGAGAACCACTGCTCTGTATCATAGTTCCTTTTTAAAGCCAGCCCTTAGTTTAATGGCTATAATAAGTGACGGAAAATCAGAAATAATTCCCCCTCTAGAATCTGTGTAATGTGGAATTAATCTATGGATACTTTACTCCTAGGGAGATCAAGGTAAAGGAAAGGAATAAAATACAGGATGGAAACAGCAATCCTCCCAAATTACTTCTCATAAGAAGTGACAACCTAGTCTGGCTACTGTGGGAATTATTTGACCCTTTTTACTACCACTAATGATGTTCCCAGTACTCCCTCTCTCTGTTGCCCTGAACAACCCTATTTGTCAGATTTGCTTACTCTACTGTAGGCCCCAAGTTTTTCAATCACCTCACATCCCAACAGGATACAGAGCTCTCAGGGAGACAGGAGAGCTGGCAAAAGAAAGGGAAGGAAAGCTCTCTGCTTCTTGAGCAGCTGCCACTCTGGTGGAGACAGCAGGCCTGTTATCTGCTTCATTAATTCATTCATTCGTTCATTCATTTATCTTTCCACCCAACCATCCCTCCGGTCCTCCATTTTTCCATCTGCCCATCCATCCATCCACTCATCCTTTCATCTGTTCATTCCAGAAACAGTTATTGTGTGTCAGTTTAGTTTCTCTCCAATATCAAATGAGGTTGGGCCTCATCAGAGACCACTGGCTTATGGCATTTCTTTTGTTTCACTAGAGAAGCAAATGGACCAGAATGTCCATTGGGATGCAAAAAGAAAATCTCAGAACTTCTATTTATATTTTTATCTAATCCTTTTAAAAATATCTAGTTTGAGTGTATGTTTTATATCATTAATAATATCATTTTATATCATTACAGTATATATGTAGTTTAAAATTACATACTCAAAGAACTGCTATTAAGCTATTAATAGCTATTCATACTGCTATTAAAAATCGAGTCAGAAGACTACTGAGCAATTTGAGATAGATAAGTAGTAACTTTTGGGGTAAAGAACATGAAAAGCCTTCAGTAACATGAAGCTGGGCAGCTAGAGAAGATGCCTGCAACTCAGAGCTTTGTTTAATTTTATTGCCCATGGTCACACAGGTGGTCACTGTGGAGCCAGGAACAGACGCTAGTCTAGCCCAAGTCTAGCTCTTGTTCCACTGTCCACCCTACCCCGAAGGACCATTTGGACTGTGTTCCAGGCTTCAAGCCAAGACAAAAGATCGTTAAGTAACCTAACTAGTCTAGCCCAAGTCTAGCTCTTGTTCCACTGTCCACCCTACCCTGAAGGACCATTTGGACTGTGTTCCAGGCTTCAAGCCAAGACAAAAGATCGTTAAGTAACCTAACTCCCTAAGAACATGCACACAGGCGAAAGTAAAGATTTTCAATGCCTTCTGTTTTTATTTAATAAGAATATGAATATCTTGCATTCTTATAACATTTTATCTCATTCATAACCTGTTTCTATCATCTTTTATGAAAAATATTAATTCAGGCAAACCAGATTTTTTTTTTTACTCAGACATAATTTAAGCATTTTACCAATTGCTTGAAATAATTTGCATAATTTGCCCATAAGGCTGAGTGAACATATGCCATCTTTGGATATGATACTCTTAAGCTTCAAAGCTGTAGGTTAGTCTGTTCTTTTATAGGCACTGAAAAGTTTGTCTTTGGCTACATTTTCTAAGGTGCACTTTCAAAAATATTAGGAAATATATGAAAATAAAATACAGAATTAATTATGAGTGGGAACATGAATGAGATACCTAAACTCATGAAAGTGAAAATGGGTTGACATTTTTAGTTCTATAACCTTCAGTCAATCAGCTAGCAACTGATTGAAACGGAATTATTTGGGGTTTCCTCACAAAACTTAGAACAGTGCACAGTAGGACTTAGTAGCTGTTTAATGGCAAAGTTTCTACCATCAAAGAAGTTAACATCCAGGAAGAGAAAACAAAACAAAGAACAAAATATGCTCTAAGTTTAGTATCTCGATACTGTGTGAAAGAACCATCTATATAGTGACCAAGAAACTGGTATTTCGAGCCTTAGCTCTACAGCTGAATTAGGGCACCAACAGAAGTGTTTATCTTTCATCATTGTTTGCCTCCATAGAAAGAGTTAATACATAAGGACCTACCTTCTGGAAGTTCTAAAGAACAAGTAGACCAAAAATGTGAGGCAAAGAAATAAATGTTCTGGCTTCCTGTTTTGACAGAAGAGGCTTATGTGTAGCAGAAATTCAGTTGAAGAGCCTGTTTTTCATATGCATAAAAGAGTTCTTATTCATTGAAGGAATACTTAAAATAACTTTTAATGATTTAATGAAATCATGAATCGACAAGGAGCAGCTGTGTCTTTCTGGGTTTTTTTAATTGAACAATAATAAACTTGTCCTTTTAAAACAAAGCCTAACAGCTTACTCACTTTACATTCAAAGACTGTCCCACACCCATTTGCAACTCTGTTGGCAAACTTCAAGAATAAAATATAGGTAAATAGTGAAATAATTTTTAAATAAGGTCTTTACTCCAAATAAAATACTTCTACAAATATTTCCTAACAACATCTAGTACAACAGTCCCGTCTGTGCTAAAATCTTCCCAAGTGTACCCCTAATTCCACTTAGCAACCAAGGTTTTTTAAAAAATGAAAATAAACTATATTTTGAAGTTGGTGTGTTTCTGCTGAAAATTTACTCTTCTTTTTCAAACCTCCTGAAAAGTTATTTTCTACTTTAAATTTAAAGTTCATCTAAGTCACAGTATTTACTTTTAAGTAAAGTCCCTCTGTTGCTCATTTTTTGACATTTTATAAATCCAGAGTGACTACATTGTTCTAGGATTCTCTTATGCTTATTACTGTTAATATTACTATAATTATCAATAATAAATTTACCATGCCTTGGATGCTTTAAAAGTTTATAGAGTCATACCTTGATTCTAACCATTTTAAACAAACAATATTAGGTTCATTTCCTCAAGGGGGTGATAAATATGGGTATGGAAAATGACTTGCACTAACATATTTGTCTACAAAAATATATAAATATTTACCTTCACACACATACACACACGTACGTACACACAAACACACCAGTGGGCAAAATACTTCCTAGCTCTGTCTCTGAGGGGGCATTCTTTAAAACCATTTATGGAAGTGTATGTTTGCCCTCTGCCCCAGAACCATCCTACAGGTAACCTAGGAACTACACTAGCAGCCCTCTGAAAATGACTTCAATTCAAGCTGTTACTTAAACTCCCACAAGGTTCGAACTTCCCACTTCCTTCAGGGGTTTTCTGATTGTTTTGTTTTGACTTTTTCCAAAGTAAAAAAAGGCACAATTAAATTCTATTGAAGCTACCACAAGGAAGAGCTAAATATTATACTTCCCAACTCCACCCTCACCTTCTCTTGCTCCTCACTCTTCCTCCATCTTGTATCCCAACATTAATGTACATCCAAGTCGAAAAACGTGGACTTTCGGAAGAGCTAAATATTATACTTCCCAACTCCACCCTCACCTTCTCTTGCTCCTAACTCTTCCTCCATCTTGTATCCCAACATTAATGTACATCCAAGTCGAAAAACGTGGACTTTCTGGGGTCTTCAGCTTTGACTCACTTTCTCTTTGGCTGACCTGCCTCCATGTAAGATTATCTACATTGCATTTTTAGTTCTTCAGTGTTACCATACACACACATTTAACAAATCTATATGCATTCAAATATTTGACAAATATCTAAAAAGTTCAGTCATATGCATTTTACAGATTGTAAGTAGCCTACTACTTTTTTTTTTCTGGATACACCCTGAATCACATTTGGTCTCCAAAAATTACATGTCCACATGCTATAATCTAGACAATTCCTAAAACGTTGGTTGCGTGTTGGACAATCATAAAGCCTTCTCTTGGAAATCCCTCCAGGATCAGCGTGGATTTAACCATTTCATTACAGGAGACCGGGCAGCGTTCTCTTTCACAATTTCTTCTCTCACAGCATTGCCATCTCCTGATGCCATGTCATGCTCTGAAATCAGGAAGAATAGAGATCATGTCCAAGTGTCTGTGACTCAAAGATTAAGCACAGTTTTGTTTTGTTTTACATGGAATTTACAATGAAATCTTTAATAGATTCAAGATTCTATGCTAGCTGTATCCACAGCTCTATATCAATTAGCACTTCCCATCTAAGATAGTAGCCCCTTGTATTATTTCTCTTCTTATACCTATCATCACCTGACATTATCTTATACATGAACTTGCCACCTTAATTTTTTCTGCATTATCTCATTCAACCACTAAAATTCTAGTTCCTTGAAGGCAGGGACTTTGTCTTGGTCACTGCTATATCCCCAGCACTTACAACAGTGCCTGAAACATAGTAGGCAATTAATAAATACTTACGAAATGAGCCAATGCTGTAAGAATAGATCTCTAAGTAAGAGTTTTATGCTAACTGGTATGGAAGAGGGATTAACTTTTGGTGTGACCCCAGGAGGCAGAAGGCAGACCCAAAGGGTAGAACTTTTATAGAAATAGTCTTGTTTTACATATGAGAAAAGTGTGTAACATTTAGAATTTTCTAAAATGAAATTTTCTGCTTCGAAAAGTAGTGAGGTGTGCTTGCTTCAGCAGTTCACATCCTGAAATTGAATGCTACAAGATTAGCATGGCCCAGCAGGTGAATGCGTGTAAATTCATGAAACATTCCAGATCTTACTTCCCCCCACCTCACTCCCCTCAAAAAATAAGTTACTTGTGAATTCTCAGTCTTGGGAAGCTTCTTATGAAAAAATTAAAATATAAAAATAAAAAGAACAAATGCAGATAGGAAGCCCACTTGCCAAAGTGTTGCAGCAACAGGTGGAAAGTCAGAGAAGACAAACTCTTGAGAACCACATGTAATCAGGGTATGGAGGGGACCTCTAGTAGTCCCTATGCTTGTGAACGTTGGAGTCATTTAACCTGTTCTCAAAGGCTGGCTCCAAACAGGTTTGTGAAGAGGTGATATGAAGCCTAGGACAGGACCAAGGCCCCAAGCCCCTCCTGCAAACTCTTCTGCATGAACCCAGGAAGTCTCATGCAGATAATGCACAACTGAGAGGGGGCCCTGGGCAGACCCTCAAAGAGGTCTTTAGAATATTCTGCTCTCTGGGCCGGCCTGGTGGCGCACTGGAGAGTGCACCGCTTGGGAGTGCGGCGGCGCTCCCGCTGAGGGTTCGGATCCCATGTGGAGACCAGTTCCCACTCACTGGCTGAGAGCGGTGTGGGCGCAACACT